GCTTAAGTTTAAAAGTGAATTCGTAAATAAATTTAACAAAACATTTGAATTCCTTTTAGGCTACCCAAGGATCTAAGGATATGAACTCTATATCAAGAAATGTCGCTACTGCTGTTAATGACTTGAAAGAACAAACTCGCTTAATCGATAATCGAAAAGATCGATGCACATATGAATCAGAACGTGTGTATACTGACAATTACGATCGCACTTCTGCTGAACTTCAAAGTTGTTTGGATGGAAAAACCGAAGTACCAACTCCAACTGAACCACCAACTGAACCACCAACTGAACCACCAACCGAACCACCAACTGAACCACCAACTGAACCACCAACCGAACCACCAACTGAACCACCAACTGAACCACCAACTGAACCACCAACTGAACCACCAACCGAACCACCAACCGAACCACCAACCGAACCACCAACTGAACCACCAACTGAGCCCCCAACTGAACCACCAACTGAACCACCAACCGAGCCACCAACTGAACCACCAACCGAACCACCAACTGAACCACCAACCGAACCACCAACTGAACCACCAACCGAGCCACCAACTGAACCACCAACTGAGCCCCCAACTGAACCACCAACCGAACCACCAACCGAACCACCAACCGAACCACCAACTGAACCACCAACCGAGCCACCAACTGAACCACCAACTGATACTTTAAATGGAGTTAATAATTTTAAACATTTTAATAGATTTAATAGAAGACAAATGAACAGAAAGCATCAACAAATATATATGTAAAATATATGTACACTATAAAATATTATTATTATTATTATAGAAACCATGAATATATATTATTATAGAAACCATAAAACCATATACCAAACCGAATATTATTTAATTAAAATAAAAATAATTGTAAAAAAATTTTTTTGAAGTAATTACTCATAATGTCTTCAGATTTAAATCATATATAATATATAAATAATATATAATGTATAAATAATATATTAATATTCCAAATTTCAATTAAATTTCTTATATTGAAGTTATTAAAAATGCAACGTTGAAAGTCTAAGTAGGTTAATGACCAAGGGTGGGTCAGATAAATTTCCGGTTAGTCATGGGTATAAAAAATTTAATTGGACTATTAAGATATACATATGTCTATGCATATATAATACAAACATATATATATAATTTGTGTTCATAAAATTAAAATTATCAACTGCACATATTTTTTTTTCAAGTTACAAATCGTTGTAATGAATTTCTGAGATTAGATTTAGATTTCTTTGTTATTATTTGAGCCGCTATCTGAGTATCTGTAACTCGTGCACGCGTAGATTCAAGTTCTTTTTGCTTATAAGAATCTCGTTCAATACTCCCAGACGAAGAACATGCGGACATTTGATGATTAAAGCATAAGAATCCAGAAGTTTTTACTAAATTCTTTTGCTAATAAGTATCTGATTGGGAATTTTATTTTTTGTTTGGCAGGTGTTAACCATATACATCTCGACGTATATATATATTTCCTTGTATTATGGTAAGTTTTAGTTAAGTCTTATCAATTGCGATAATAGTTAGCTATAATTAAGTTCATAATTATTTTGTTTATCAGGTGATTACAAGTATTTAAAGCAATTTACGTAAAATATTAGCTTCGACTGTTGCATACCTTTCATTCTTTCTCGTCATTGCAATTAGCAGTATTAAAAATAATTTAGATATTTATCAATTAGCAATTCATTAGATATTATTTATTTTAAAATAAAATATTTTAATTATGATTCAGTATTGATATTGATTTTTAATTCTTTAAAACCAACAGTTTACGTTTTCTGATATCAGAGACCTTATGCTTTTTATAGAAAGTTTTTATTATTAAAGATTAAAAAATAGTTAAAAAACTAAATTATTGCGTGACAGAAAAAATTATGTATTCAAACTTTTTTATTTAATACAATTGTATTTTAAATTAAATTTATCGGTTTATAGAAATAAAAAATATAAAAACAGAGTTTTAGTAACCGAAGTACAAAGAAATTTAAGCATAGGTCGGTAGCCTATTTCCCATGAAATGCTCGATCCACTACACTTTTATTTCCCATTTATTTATGCCAAGGTGCATAATTCATGAATGGGCATATGTTTCTTTTCGGTGGGCTCTCCATTGATAACTAATAGGTACACAAAATAATTTTCTAGCTCTTAAAAATTTTCAACAATTACTTTTGATTATTAAAGCAGACAATTTAATATTTCTAGTGCAAAATTTTATATATACGAACATTACTTAAGACTATGGCGTCCATATTTTACGATACGCATGGATTTTATTATCGACTACCTTAAGAAAGATCAGACCATCAAAAGCCATCACTACATGGCCCAACAGGTACGTTAAAAGCAGGAATCACCAAATAGCGGCCCCATGTAAAGAAGAACAGACTGCGCCGTGTCACAAGTTGTTAACTACCATTGCAAAATTGCAAGAATTACATTTCGAATTGCTTCCACGCCCACCATATACACTAGATTTGGCCCATAACCATCTCTTTGCAGACCTCAAAAAAATGCTTCTGGGAAGAGGTCATCACCGAACGTAGATAAAGTTTAAGGCCAAAGATGAAGCAATTTACAGGAGAGATCATTTATTTAAGGAAAGAGACTACATCTATGAATGAAGTCGAATCTTTCCAAAAAGTTTTTGTTTTATTTGTTCTTTTAAATAACATGCTGAAGATAATGTCTAAAATTTACAGATTTTTTTATTAATATAATTTTAGATAGTTGCTTTTCTGCGGTATTTGGTAAGCGTTAAAAGCCACCATGTGGGATTATAACAATCGATATCTTAGGAACGAAAGAAAAGATTCCAGCCTAGCTCCATGAAGAGTGTTAAAAACGTCGTTATACTAATCAACATAGTATTTAGCTTAGCATTAAGATAAAAATTATAGAAAATAACTTGAGTTAGAAGGTCGATAAATACTAAAGCGTGCTAAATTTCTTATAGATTCTATAACCGAAATTTTGAAAACCATGAATGCAGAAATAAACTGTTTATAGTAGAAAAACTTTACTTTGCAGTTAATGAACTTAATATATATAGCAAACAATTGAGCTCTTGTAAGTGAAAAGGCTTAATTAATATTCATTTATAAGTAGTATATATTATAAAATCAAAGTTCTTAAGCTATCATTTTTTATAATTATCACGTTAATTGTTTTGAAGTCAAAAACAAATTATGGCTGATTATTGACTTAAGTATAAAATCTCAGTTAAATTAAAAAAAAATCAGTTAATAATTTTAAACGATTATTGCCTTCAAATGCAATACTTTAGATAATCAATAAAAATGTTGGTCAGAAATGACCTTTATCAGTAATTCAATTAATCAACAATTATCAACAATTCCCAATAACAACACCCAATAACCTACTTTGTTCTTTTGTCTTTAATAAACAATTCTCTATAATTCTTGAAAAGCATGTATTGTAGTATTACGCGTTGCACTTAAAATAAAATGATTAATACAATTTTTATATATTTTTTTGTTTTGATTTGATATATATCATTGTTCAAATAATTTTTAATTCATAGAAATACATCTTCATTATGTCATTTAATAATATATTCACAAATAACTAATTAGTATTGATTACTAATCTGATACTTACAGTTTCAAAACAAAAATATTTACGACTATATAATATAAGAAATAATTCTAAAATCACGGGTTTGTGATGGGGCCTTGGCAAAACTCGAAGCAGCTGTGTGGTCAGCCAAAAATTTAATTACTGAATAAATAATAAAAGTTTATTATAATGATTTGCTACTGTTTAAAATACCTCTGTATTGAAAACAATAGTTTATATTAATAATTTAGTTTCTTTCTTCAAAACGGACGTTAAACATCAGTTATACCTGATTAGTGAATATGGGTTTTGTTTATATGGATTTTATACAGATTTTCTATGGATTTTGTATAGATTTAGTATAGATTTTGTATAGATTTTGTATGGATTTTGTATGGATATTGCATGAAATAGACATTTTTACTGTATATTTGACGATATAATTGGGATAGTATAAACCTACTGTAGCATATTTACAATTATTACTGTCAATAATAGCTTAATATGTGAAATCATATTAAGAAATAAACTTATAGGATCACTTATAACATAAAGATATATATTATCACAAGTGAAATTGATGATTTTAGAGTTTAAAAAATAATAACATTGGAGTCCAATAATTAAATTTTTAATAAAGTGAATAAATGGATTGACCATGCAGCTGTTACGGATATAGACAATCGAGCTAAACACCAATGATAATGAATATTTAATAATATCTGAAACAGCTTTATATTCAATCTAAGAACTACATTTAAAAATAACAATTAAAGATTTCTTCATTTTTACCCCCTTTCATTTTAAAATATAAATATATTATTTTAAAAATTTTAATATAAATGTATTTCTATTTTTTTTTATTTGAAAATAAATATGTAATTACTATATAACCACAATAACAAATTTTATTATAAATACTGTTAAGTGGTAATTACAATTTTATGGCTTTCTCACTATTGTAGAGATACTTCCTAGTATATGTACAATGGTATTCGGGGATTTTAGGTTAGGTTAATGCTCCTATGTACTGCGACCAGTGTGATCTATTGTGCACCCATTTGTATTTAAATACTTAGTATCTCAAGGAATCGAACCTGCCCCTTCGGTGAAAGTTTTCGAAGGTCTTCATCCTTTATTTGGTATGCACCTTATAATTTGTTTCTTCTGTAGCCTAGTGCATCACAGTTGGTAATCAGATGTTTCATAGACTCTTCCTCATCACGACAGAATCTACAAATATTAATGTCCGATATACCTATTTTGTGTAGGTGTTTTCTTAGTATAAGGTTATTATGCTTAAAAAAGTAGCTTAGAGTCTTTTTTTCTTTTCCATATCTTCAAGTGTAAGCATATTTCATTATTTTTTATTTATTTCTATTTGAGCCAGTGCACTTGAGCACTTTTACTTTCTCTTAACTTGAGGTATTTTTAAAACCACTCTTTACGCCTTAACTGGATTATTGTTTATCACTTCATCAGACTAAGCAATAATTGATCACAGATCTGCTTACCTCCTCGAGGAGCCTGTAACCATTCTGAGATTTGATAACGCGGTGTTGGTAAGTCTGTCAGTTTTCGCAAATAATTTCAGGGCTCTATTCTTTATGTATTTTTTGATAGGATCAATCTTGAGGTCCCTGAGGATGTCATTCGTCCTAATGTACCATGGTACTTTGAAAAGTCTTCTCAGAGCCTGACTTTGTGCAATTTCTAGCTGGTGAATAGTAGTGTTTTGCTAAGCGCTACACACCCATATAGAAGTGACGGACGAATTTTTTGGTTATATATCAGTTTACTGTTCTTATCATTGAGATTTTCATTTCTGAATAGCGGTTGGAGGTGATGAAGAATTTTGGCACACGTATATTTTTTTATTTAGTATAAAGTATTTATTTTTTAAGAAGGTTATGAACAACTATTTTTAAGTGATCCGTAATATTCGAAGATTTAAATAAATGCCGAAAAATATATTTAATATGTGTTGATCAGTAGCAAAACGTGGACAGTATTTTTGTATTTCCCCCAAGCTACACAACTTATAAATTTAATATAATCTATTAAAAATACTATTTACTTCCTCAAACTTCAAAATTATAAATTTAATAGAATTTATTAAAAATAATAATAGGGACTTTTTTGTTTAGTTGTATATCGAAACAAGAAATAATTAAAATGTCATTCGATTAATTAAGATAAAATCTTGGCATTC